AATCATTCACTTTTTAATTATGGCTTGCTTACCGAGGGTGATTGGGGGCAAACGAGTCATTTAAAAGCCACATAAGGCAATCGGACACATTCCTATTCAATCATTGCATTTGGTTTAATTGGTTTGCCGGTTCAGACTGGCATAAATATTTAGCATTCAAGTGGAAATGTTCTAGTTTTCAGTCTCTGGTTTGAGAAGTTTATCAGTAACACTGCACGTTTCACTTACATAACTTAGAATTGAGACAATATGTTTCTCTTAAAGACTGTCTAAGCTCTTGCATCCCTCCCTCCCTTTATTATTCTGCTCTATTGGCCCTTCATGTACATTGTGTCCTGTTTGGGAATGTGCAGCAAAGCAGCCCTTGAACAGCGATTTCGCAAATAATGTTCATGTCTGGGCCAAGAGATGTTTCAGCGATTCCAAAGGGATTTGTCATGGGGCAGTTTTCCCCCTCCTTCCCCCCCAATGACCTTGTTAAAACTGGCAAACACACCCCAGATAACAGGAGCCTTGTTGTAAATCACAGCCTCGATTTTGAATCATTGTCCAATGCTGTGGCGTAGCTGCTATGCTCAATGTTTCCACCACTTAATATTGGTGCGTTTAAAGATTGCATCATGATTATGTTTAAAGACACGATAGTTATGTTAGCTTTACCTATGTTGATGTCAGCACCTGAATAGTCAAACCACCAACAAGTCAGACTATTAACCGGTCAGCGGAGGACATAAATTTTATTTTCTGAACATGTTGTAGCCTGATTAAATTTTTCTCAGAAAAATCCACTAGTGAGACTTAGCTGCATTAAAATGCAGACGTGATATACTGAAATAAAGGTCCATAGAATTTCCCAAACGGCCAAAATCAACGAATCAGCACTGACTTGAATGTGCCAAGTTTACTGGCGTAGTTCACACCAGTCCTTGCCAGGTTCCATTGGCTCCCAATTATTGAACGGATCAACTTCAAGATCCTTTAACTTGTTTTCAAATCGCTTTATGTCCTCGTACCTCCCTACCTATCCGCCTAAAGACCTTCCTTTTTGATCGTGCTTAGAGTCACCTCCTCTTCCCCCTCCTGGCTCGGGGTCAGACTCCGCCACTGTCAAGCGCTCTGAGATGATACCCAGTGTGAAGGGCGCTATATAAGTGCAAGTTGTTGATGTGAATGTGTCCTTTCTCACTTTAGNAAAAACATTATTCAGCAATGCGCTTTTAATTTTCCCAGCCCTACCAATAGCCACAATGGCGTTAGTAGAAACAAACAGGTAATGTATTCCTTTAGTTTCTTGAAAAACATCACATCATTTATGCATTAAATACCCTGCATTCAATAAGGTTTGGAAACGAAACAAAAACGATTTGAATATAGATGGTGCCTTTCATTCATTTCTTTCAAATAAGCTGTTTACATCTTTTAAAATTTACAAACAAACAGCTTGCACTGCCCAGAACACGTAACACAAGGAAAATGGATCTTCAGTGTATATTTTTACAAATAGCAATTGTTTCATGACATTTAGGCTTTGTCTTTACCTTTTTATCTCAGTTTATTTTAATATCTTATTTTGAGCACAGAAACCTTTCCTCTCATGCAGTGCATTTTATTATGACTCCTTACATCATCAGCAAGTTATGCATGTAACATATACATCGCTACCAAGAGGTCAGTGCCACAGTTAATGTGACCAGAAAATAAGGTACTATTTTACTTATGAAAAACCCCAAATTCCCTTGGGGGCCAGTATAATTTTTTTTGGCTGAAGCATATATAGTGTTTCTTTCTTACCTGCTCCTCTGGAGTTGTGAAAATTGCAGGAATTTACTTGAATGGTACAGTACAAACTACCTGTTGAGACTGAACCCAGTGCTTCACATGTAACAAATTACATTTAAACCTTGGACAAGGTGTTTTAGCAGCAAGTATTTTTTTGTTTGTAAGAAACGTCTTTTGTATTTTGTGATTCTATTAAACATTAAAAATGTACTGTGCTGGAAGCTTCTTGTAGATGTGGTAGAAAATATTTTGAAAGCTGCAGAGGACATTTGATATTATGAGGCCCGATAACATTTTTGCCTCTGGGGATAGGCTGGGGAGCCCATCACGAGCCGGCTTTGTTCTTTAGTATACGTACAAAAGCGTGCCATTTGCGCTCGATGTTCTTCTTCGTAAATTAACACATAAAGCAAACAAAGTCATTTGGCGCTCTTGTGCAGTGTCACACTGCACTCGGCTCGGCCTTTCCCAAGTGCACAGAATGGCTTCGTAAGCTACGGTGATGCAAGCCATGCTTTGAACAGGATGCAAGATTTGTAACTGTTGGTGGCAACAGCTGGGCTTGACAGATCAAGAGCCCCTGTGCAGATTATCTGCTGAAGACCCCTGGGAAAAGGCATAAAAGTCTGAATGTGTTTTTTAAAATACATTTCACAAACATCCGTTCGCGAAGGATGTATTCTTTGCTGCGTGACTCTCCTCCCAGTAAAACCTTGGAACTCACTTGGCACGGAAGCCTATGGAAGCAGACTATAAACCCCTGGAAAGAAAAATCATTGCTACTCAATGGCACATAAATTTGAATGATGGATGTTGCCTGTAATGTACCAGACAATTAAGGCTGGGCAAGGCATTTGAAAGCATCGGACCGACCAGCCTATCCTTTATGTATTACGGTGATAGTAGCTGTTGCATTATTGCTTGGTGCTTAATTATATATTTTTTAAATGTTGAATGTGAGCATTATAAAGAAATCTAGTTGATTTTCCGTCTCATTTTAACTTTTTCAAATTTTGTTTCGATGACGTGAAGAGCGTTATATCCAATGCAAGGATTATTATTTATTATTACTAACTGAACTTGAAATTATTTGCAGAATGATTCTATTAATAAAATACCTATCATTTAGAAGTAATAATGTGGATACAGTTGAGTGTTTGGTACTTTCAGTTGTATTGGGAAATACCCTCCACAAGTTCCAATTCATTCAAAAGTCCGCAGCCCATATTCTCTTTAAAGCCAGGTTCCATACACTCATTCCTCTCATCTCTCCCAAGCCCCACTTTCTCATTGGTCCAATGGATTGAATTTAAGATCCTTGCCCTAATTTTCAAATCTTCATGGTTTCACTATAGATGTAGTCTATTCCAGCCTTATAATCTTGCCCATTATCCTCCTCTCTTCCAATTGTGGTTTGTTGTTTGTTCCTCGGTGTCTCTCTGCCTCAACATTGCCAGCCGAGCCTTCAGTCACTGTATTCCCTCTAGATTTTTTTTCTTCATGACATCTGCCTCAATTTCCAACCCTCCCTTGCCTCCACCAATCTCTTAAAACACATCTCCTTTGACTGTGTTTTGGGTCAGTTTCCTTGGTGTGCAGTACCTAAGGCTTAGAGATGTCCGTCCTACATGAAAGATGCTAAATAAATGCAAGTTGTTGAATTTCACTGGTAGTTCCATTGTCTGGCAACAGTCAACAACTGCGGTCATCTGCTACGCTTATGAAATTGGACCAGTAAGCTTGGACATTCATCATTGATTAAACATATTTTTTCTGCGTTTCTCTGATGGTTCGTAGCTTCTGTTGCCTTGTCAGCCGTACAATTTGCTCAGCCATTCAAATTGGGAAAGTCCCAAGTATATGATCCCTGCTCGGTGTTAAGATATCCGATCTCAGTTGGGACAACTCTTTGGGTGCTACAGTTGACCTCAGCACCTTAGTTAGAGGAGGGACTGTTGTTGTTGTAAATAGGTGGAGTTTCTGCTCTTGGTTGGTGCCCAGTGACTGCTGCTAGAGGTGGTTGTATATTCAGGGTGAATCAAAAGGTCTTACTCACAGGTCTATGTGAGATGTTTAAACGTTTACACGTATCAACTGGGTGACAAAAGCTTTCACGAACATGATGAAAGCTGCACATTCTTTATGAATATTGTCTTTTTTTTAGAAAAAATAACAGTGATTAAAAACTTCGAGTGAGAACTTCTGATTCATCCTGTAGATAACAACAAAGAGAGAACAAAATTGTGGTTGACCCTCCCTCCCCTGCAGTCAAATAACAGGCCACCATTTGCCTCTCAAGGTTTGCACATTAATGATATCTACTTAGTTAAGATATCAGAGAACGATTGAAGCCAGCGACAGGAAACTTTGAGTTGAAACGTCTTCAGAACAGGAATCTGGCTACTCATTATCACTACAACCAAAGTGCTGTTTGTTACAATTTAATGTTTTTAGTAAATGTAAACAATTACATTTTCTAACATAATTGACCTTAAAATCTAATTCAGAACATCTAAAATCTTCAAATCAATAGCAAATGATGTTCAATTAACAGAGACCAATCTATATAGTATTTGCAAGTGGGCATATCCTTTGCAAACTCAAATCGGTTTGTGTGTATAAAATCTTTTCAAATCTGAAAACATTTCCCCACTGTGAAAATGTGGAATGCATTGCCAGAGTAGACTGTATCAGGGAGTTATTTAATTTGGTCATTCAGTCCACAACTGTTTGTGGGACACTATTGTGCGCAATTGCCTGCTGCGTTTCACCCCAAAATATACAGTCAATTCACTTCACAGTATGTTCTGTGAAGCGCTTTGAGACGTCTCAAAGATGTGATAAGGCGCTAATATCAAATGCAAGGATTATTATTATTGTTATTGATCCACAGCTGTTTGTGGGACAATGCTGTGCGCAATTGGCTGCCGCATTTTACCCACAAAATACCCAGTCAATTCACTCTACAGTATATTTTGTGGAGTGCTTTGAGACGTCTCGAAGACATGATGAGGCACTATATCAAATGCAGGTATTAATATTATTATTTTAGGTTTACATTTGGAATGACTGACCAATTTTTATTTGGCCAATATGGTGGTTCCTGTGTTGAATTGTTAATGTAAGGCAGATGTGTGATCTACATTCACTGTAAATGTTAACGCAGAGGCTTAAGATCCTTTACTCATCATTAACATGTCTGTGTGTGGTGTGGGTTTCAGGTAGTTCTGGGCACTCAACTTCCATGGCCGTTGCTGGCACCAATCAACCCGCCATAACCAAGACAACGTCCCTTCTGCAAGATGGAGTTATAGTTACAACAGCGGCTGGAAATGCATTGCGCGCTCAGCTTCCCATGGGGAGCGCTCTTCCCTTCATCGGTCAGGACCAAACGTTTCAGTTTGGACACACTGTCCCTACGAGTAGCAATCTCACACACCCTCCGAACCCAAACCTTCTGGGCTCTCTGTCCATCCCTTTAGCAATGAACCAGCAGCAGCTCCTGAACCACAATATGCTGAATATGTTGTCTGCGTCAGGAGACGGAAAGGCAGAGGTATCAGTCAACCCTTTGGGAATTTTGAACCCAAATCTAAACGCGGCTTTGACTTTGCTCCCCAGTGATATGGACGGACAGCCTCTTCAACCTGTTCAACTTCTGGCAGCCTTGTTTCAAAACCAGGCCCAAGCAACCATGCTTCCCCTGACGTCCTTAAATCTAACTCTCCCCGAACTATTACAGCAGCAAAGTAACCCTTCACCCTCAGTGACACAAATCCAACCCTTGCCAGATTATCTGCATAGCAATCAGTCCATGAGCCACAGAGCAGAAACCCTTCTGACCAACTCTCTGGAAAATCCCTTACCAAGTCTTTCGGGCAATGACACTACAGCACACTCTCTCATCCTCCCAGCACCCCCTGGACTGATGGCCTTGAATCCCCAGCTTTTAAGAAGTGTTCTCCGCTCCCCCTCCGATGGTGCTGCTAATCATCATGAGGTTTCTCGAGCAACCTCATCCCAGGCAACCACTACCAATACTACTACTACATCAGCAGTGGCAACACTTGCTGTCTCAACTCTTGGCAGGACAGCAGTTGTGTCAATGGCAGAATCACTGCTACCCATTTCAGCTGCTGGGAATACAACGGGACCAACTAAGCTCAACAACTCTGTGGTGCCGCACCTCCTTAACCCATTGCTGGGAACCAGCCTTCTCGGTAAGTTTTCATTTGTCACTGATGTTCATTATGTATCATGCTGCTTGTATTTGGGGTGGTGCAGCAAACATTTCTGTTTAGTGTGCTTTCCCCCCCTCCCTCCCCCCACCCCAAAAAAAAAACTCTGATGCAACATCAACAGTTTTGTGATCTCAAGCACGTCCATGTTGAATATGGGTAGAGGAAGAAATGTCAAGAAAAATTGCTGTTTATCATTAACCTGGTACTTTTTTAAGTATCTGCAGCATCTATTCTATATTGGAAGGCCCCGTATTCATTAATTTACTAGTTAATGTTTTAACTACAGAGGCAGCGGTCAACAAAGCAAGTGAACTTTCTATGCAGGTTTGATTTTGAGGGAGCGACATTCCAAATGTAAATATCGGTTTGTTTGTTTTTTGTCGAAATGTGTGTACAATACTGGCATATTACTGCCTTGTTGCTGATAAAAATGCACTCCATGAGTTCTTTTACGTAGGTGTGCTCTTTTGCCTTTAAACACTTGAATTTGCAAGTTTTGTGCAAGTATAGGATTTAAGATGCAATATAACACATAGAGAAACACTGTGCTACTGCTGGCTCAATTGGTAGCACTCTCACCTCTAGGCCAGAGGTACCAGCCTTCGGATGAAATGTTGAATGAAGGTCCAGTCTACCTGTTCCGTGTTCTGAAGGTGACAGATGAACAATAGGTTTTAAAGTAAGGGAGTTGGAAAAGTCACAGAAATAGTTATACTCTACAGATGGATTAAAAAAGATTACATTGAAATTTAAAAAGACAGTGTTTGGTTTTAATGTGTAAGAAGAAAACATACAGAACCATTTCAGACCACAGTGGGACCTGTTGGCAAATACCTTTAAACTAAGGGAACTCTCTTAGCTTTATCATTTACACCACATTATTCGTTTCTCCAAATCTTTCTTTTCACCCAGAAACAACAGGTCAAATTCATGAGACAACTCCCTTCACCCTTAATCTTTTGCGCCACCTAATGCATTACAAAGTTCAATTACTGAATGTAGGGATCTCTGTCTTATCTAGCTACGCAATTAGAATTGCACTTATATTATTTCTTGGAATAGGATAGGGAAATTTCCTGATCCATTTTCTCTTTAAAAAGTCAAACCCAATTTTTGGGGGAAAAAAGGAAAAGTAGACCACTAATATTTTGGTAAACATGCAAAGGGTCAGAACTTACAATATTGATCTGGTATGACAAGTGGTGGAATTGGCTTTGTTGGAAACTTTTATTCAATTGAATGCTCAGCACAGTAATTGTGGTGCAGCAATGTACCATTTAGAATTTCTATATCCTTTTTCTGAGCTATCTCGGGAACTATTTTAAGGGGATAATAATCCCTTTTAAAAAAAATGTGGTCACTCAATCCACGACTGTTTGTGGGACACTGCTGTGCGCAATTGGCTGCTGCATTTCGTCCACAAATATACAGTCAATTCACTTTACAACATATTCTGTGAAGCTCTGAGATGTTTCAACGACGTGATAAGGCGCTGTATCAAATGCAAGGATTATTATTATTTTAGGTTTGCATTTTTGATTAACAGGTCAGTTTTTATTTGGCAATTTGCCCTAGACTGTCACTTTGTAATCTATCCAGTGAAAATTAGATTGCAGTTATGCATTCTAAAATGCGAAGAGGCTTAATGTGCCATTACTTTATGTTTTACACCACCAGTACAGTCTGCATAGTTTATATGAGTTTCTGTATAACTATAATGCAAATTTTCTGTGTACCACTGAATGCAAAATCATTATCTCCATTGACGCCAGGTGATAGCTGCTTAAATAGGAGGTGTAATCAACTGAACTCCGTTACCATCCACAGCACTAAATTTCACGTTTTTTTAAAAAAAAAGTGCACATTTTCCATTGTGTAGATACTTTGGTTTCAATAAACCAACACACCAGGGAACCTTGCAACGTATCCAGTGCAAATGAGATTACAGGTTTATGCATTCTAAAATGTGAAGAAGCTCAATCTACTAATGTCTTGTGTTGTTGTTACACTACAAATATAGTCCAAAGTTTATATCAGTTTTTATGTAAAACTAATGCAAGTATACTTTTTTATATAGATTTTATATACAGGGTGACCAAAAAGTTGTGGTGCCATTACAATGTCTAATCAGTCTTAAAGAAATGATGTTTTTTAAGATAATAGGATAGCTATCACGACTTTTTGGTCACCTGTATGTATGTGCGTATATATATATCATGACTTTATAATTGCATTGCAACTGTTCCATCTACTTACTTTCTTGACCTTTTTTGCCAGCAATTGAATAAAGAGGACATCACATTCATTTTTTTTAGTCCCTCGGGTGCCTTGGCACATTCGGAAACCCATCACCGTGCTTAAGAGTATCCAAACCGAACTGAGAATTTCATGGCATCCCACCTACGCATGGAAATTCCAAAGGCGAAACTCGTTCTGAAACTGGCATTCCGAATTCCTCCCACAAGTGACTATCATGGACATGGTCCAGTTCAACTGTATCATAGCAATCAGTTTCATTTCATTTCTGGTCAATTTGTTGCCCACCTCACGGGTGGAAATGTAAACAAAATGGTGGTTTACTTCAGCGAGTACTCATTTCGTTCCTTGGAATGGGTTCACGTACTTGTATTGACATAGTTTAAGACAATCCTTTCAGGATAGTGCTAGCTTGTGGGCTTTCAGATGGATGAAGCAATCTGCTTATTGCAGTCCCATTCATGCATTTTGCATTGTGCCACTGAGTAATGGGACAGCTTTTATCCACAACCTCATTTACATTAAAGAACCCATCTTCGTCACATTAACTTCAAACAATCCGAACTAAATATGATCCCTCAAGATTTATATTTAACATCTGCTCACAAGGGTAGATCATGCACCAGGTGGCATTGAATTGCCAATCTCCCGCCTCTTTTTCCTGTAGGAAGGAAAATCCGCAGTGGATTTTTTTCAGATGTTTAAAACTCCAGTACCAACACAGCTATAAAATGATGGTAGCAGGAGCAGTTAAACCATGACCTACTTATTGCGACAATTCATAATCATGGAGTGTATTGGTTTAGAGGACCTGGGTTTGATTTCCGGGCAGGCCAAATCTTCGACAAGTTTCCCTACTCCACACACCTCTGTTTACCTCTCAGTAAGTAGGAACCCGGTTGTTAGTCAAATGACTGATCTCTTCAAAAAAATACATTAATAATAATAATTTGGTCATTCAATCCACGACTGTTTTTGTGCACCGCTTTGTGCAATTGGCTGCCGTATTTTGCCCACAAAATATACAGTCAATTCACTTTACAGTATAGTCTGTGAGGCATCTGAGACGTTTCAATGACGTGATAAGGCGCTATATCAAATAAAAGGATTATTATCTATACTAATAAAATGACAATATCGTGCGCTTCAAGAAGGATCTTAATAACCAATTGATGTCGAGACATGATTTATACCTCATCGGAAAGGTCTTGCATCTGAGAGTGACATGGGCATATTTTTTTTAGGGTCTCTCCTATTGTTCATGAGTTGGGACGTACGCACGTAGCCAAGCAGCGGCGGAAACAAAATAAAGAACACAGACGAAGCTAAGCCGCTAAGCAGCAAAATTACATTTTCAAAGCGCCTTTAACGTCGGGAGAACGTCCCAGTGATTATAAATTATACATTTATATTGATCATTATAAAGATGCCTTTGCGAAAATCAAACCTTTCAAGAATAAGTAAGTGTGTGCGTCTGTGTGTCAATCTACATTCCAGATTGGATTCCTTGGTTGCAAGAGAAGCTGCAACGGGTACAGCTAGTTTATTGTAAGTTTAATGGGTTAACCCTAACCCTAAGATGTGATGTAGTCCTTAATGAAACTTATTCTATGTTACTTTTCTATTGCTGAATACAAACTGATAATATTCATTCTTGTGTGTTCTCCATTCAACTTGTACATTACATGGATAAGTTAAAACAATCTTCTAAATATATTTGTGTAATCATGTGGATGATTTCAAGATGAATTGGAATGTAATTCTACTTTTTGGGGAAAAATTTACATTTTTTGCCCAATTTTATCTATTTTGACAGTGGACAAATGTATTTATTTTTAAGATATCTCAATATGTGTGGTTTTGTAAATGTATAAATTCTTCAAGTTCACCAGAAACATTTTAACTCCTGTTTTGAGAATCTCTATTGAGTATCTTTAGGTACAATCATTTCCTGAGCAATTTTCGCATCTTATGATCGTGAGAGAGGCTGCTTTTTTAATATAAAAAAGATTTTAAGAGCACCTTAATCCTGTTAAATGTGATGCTTTGAATGATACATTTTGTGTGAGCTATTTCACCATGTTGGACCAATTAAATGTTTCTTCATTTATATTGGAAACATTGCTAGAAACTCGTGTATTTGAAAGATTGCTTGGAATAATGTTCAGGACCCTAAAATGCAGTTTGCTAGCCCCCTTGGATCTTTGCCCTCCACCAGAACTTGCAGACCAGTTATTACAATTTATCTTTCATCTATAATCGTGTATCCAGCAATGTAGAATCCACATCACAGTGCTCAGTTGTCTGTTTTGCATTCAGAAAAAGACCACAGCCAAGCGATGGAATAAAATGAGAAACTTTTGTTTTACCACTCGAAAAGTTCATTATTTGTATGGTCTTCAATGTTCTTATTATAATAATAATAATAATTCTTGCATTTGATATAGCACCTTATCACGTCTTCGAGACGTCTCAAAGCATTTCCCAGAATATATTGTAAAGTAAATTGACTGTATTTTTTGTGGGCGAAACGCGGCAGCCAATTGCACACTGCAGCGTCCCAACAAACAGTCGTGGATTGAGTGACCAAATTATTATTATTGTCATTTGCCAAAAATGACAGAATGATTGGAATCTTGCAATCTCTTGACCACCCAAAAGTCATGCCATCTTTGGTAAAAACCCACAACTACATTAAGTGGAGACGGTAGCAGGACAGCGTGGTGCTTGTGTGGCCGTTGAAATATGGCCACGGTTTGCAGTTGCCTAATCAGCTGAAAATTGTGAAATCTGTAGCTTAGAACTGAAGCCTGTTTATACGAGAAAGGCAATTAATGTTCATTTTTATTGGTCTTACAGCTTGTAATGTTAGCACATTAATTGCCATTTTAGTTCAGTTGGGTACCCTTTTGCCTGGTTCAGAATGTTGGGAATTTCAGCCCATTTTCTAGTCCGCTTGCATAAAAAGCAAACCATTATAAAGTACTTGAGACGTTTCAACATAAGACACTTTATCCACTTCAAGTTTTTTTTTCGCTCACGTAGCAGTTGTGGTTGGTTAGAATGTATTTGTAACGGCTGATGAAGTTTTTAATATTTAATTAGTGCTTCTCAGTTTTTTTGGGGGGGTTTCGCTCCAGCTATTTGAAATGTTTGCGTGAGAAATGTGCGGCAGATACACAACAGATGTTCATATTTTCTAACCTCTGCAATTCTCCCATTGACCTAGTTTCTTCTGTTTTGTTCTTATATCCAGGTGATGTATCTTCATTAAACAACAGTTTGAATAACCCACAGTTGAGCAGTCTCCAGACCTTGATAAACAACAACCAGATGTTCTCTCAGAATCATCATTCGCTTCTACAAGGTCTACCCGGGTCCCAGGGTCTTCAGGGGTTTCAAAGTCACACTTCATATCCTGGCCCAACAAACCAACCAAACCCAATGGCCTGTCTTTTTCAGAACTTTCAGGTGAGCACTTAAAAAGCCTGTTTTCATTGCCATTTGCTTTGTTTGCATAAAGGTATAAGAATTTGTTAGATGAAAGAAGATCAAGGTCCATCCTGTTCACCTGCCACCAACCTGGCAGTCGCCTGCGCATGTAGTGTCCCCAAACTATATACTGCATTCCCAGATATTATTTCCTAACAGAAATCTATCTGATTTGTTCTTGAAAGAATAAACATTTCCCGTTTCCACCGTCTCCCTGTCCCATATATTTTACTGAAGTAGGGTTTCCGCAGATTTGTTCTGAATTTACTTCCCTTCAATCGCAGGCTGTGTCCTCTGGTTCTACTGTTCAGTACAAGATAAAAGAGCTAATCATGGTCTACATTATCTAGTACCTTTAGCATCTTGCCACTGGACTGAATTGTTTCTCAGTTGTGAAGTGAGCTGAACCTATTGATTGCAGTTAGCTGCAGAATCTGCTTCCTCCCATAACTATAGTTTTGCACAATTTGGGGGATGGGGAGGGTGGGGGGTGGAAATTGAGTGATGTTTAAGAGCTGTATTATGGATGAGTTTTGAATGAAGTGATTGCACTGCCTGAAAATGAACAGAATTGTGTCTGGTGAAAACCATGATCTTCTCAGTTCAAGTCATCGATAAATATCCATTTTCAATATTATTTCCATAACTGGGAAGGCTCTCCAAATGGCTTTTTTTCATTCCTAGACAGGATACAAGGCTTACAACAACAACTTGCATTTATACAGCGCCCTTCACGCAGGGTAGAGTCCCGGAGCACTCGACAGTGGTGGAGTCTGACCCTGAGCCAAGGGGAGAGGGAGTGGGGCGGTGACCATAAGCCCTATCAAAAAGGAAAGATTTTAGACAGGATTTGAAAGTGGAGAGGGAGCAGGCAATGCGGAGGGATTGCGGGAGAGAGTTCCAGAGCTTCGGGGCACAGTGGCTGAAAGCACGGCCACCGATGGTGGAGCAGAGGGGACAAGGGACGAACAGGAGCCAGCCGAGCGGAGGCAGTGGAGTGAGGGCTAAGAAAATCAGATAGGTAGGGAGGTGCGAGGGCAAGAAGGGATCATGAAGACTTATCGACGGTTCCCTCATTGCTGTCTGCTCTCTTTCTCTGTCTCAACCTTCTCTCTCTCTCTCTCTCTCTCTCTCTTATCACGATTACAGTACAATGGTCATTCCCTCTCTTGTTGCTCCCAAGCTTCAAATGAATCAATCCCCCACATTCTCTCCATCTTGCATCCTTATCACATTGATCCAAAACTCATTGCACCGCCAGCTACTTAACTTCATGGAATCCTGTAGGGTATTGGTTAGAGCATTCGCCTTTAAGCGAGAGGACCCAGATTTCATTCCCGGGCAGGGCAAAACCTTAGGCAAGTTTCCTTACACCACACGCCTCTGCTTACCTAGCAATAAGTAAGAACCCAGTTATTAGTCGATTGGCAGGATCATTTTCCGGGAGTAATAATACCTCCCGAAAAAAATGTGGTCACTCAATCCACGACTGTTTTGGGACACTGTTGTGCGCAATTGGCACTTTGAGACGTCTCAACGATGTAATAGGGCGCTATATCAAATGCAAGTATTATTAATATATGTTGGTTTTACTGCACTTGTGCTCCTTGGTCTTTCACCTGGGTTCGAAATAAAAAACAACATATTTGAACATTCTAGAATAAAGGTTTACCTTACCGTTCTTTCCATTTGGAAATTTTGCAGACTCTTAATTTGAAAACCCAGCAAAATATTGCTTTCCCTTTCTACCCACTTTGTAAAAATATTTGATTTGAATCTAAAAATACCTTTATTCATTCCAACGTGCATGCCATTTGAATGTTTTCAATTTATTGTCTAATTTCATTTGAGGTCGATAGCAAATATTACAAGACAGAATCATGCGGCACAGCACAATGTTGCCTTGGTGAAGCTAATTTTGCTGAGAGTATAGTGTGTGCGGTTTCTTTAGTTTGTGCTCAGTTCTGAGTGACTTAGTAAATGGGCTCGGATATAAATATTTCAAATTGACTCTTTTCATTATTTTGTGTCCAAATGGCTGAGAAAAATATATTTTCAGGAAAAACTGGCCATGCATTCATCACAATTCAGCTGGAAACAAATGAAAAATAACTATTACTGGAAAACAGTAAAGCCATATACTTTTTTTTTAACCATGAACCTATGAATAACTATGTTCTAATAGAGCAGAGAAAATTAGAAATAGGTCTAGTAGTAATAGATATGCCACTTTCAATTTCCAGGCTGTGCGGAAAGCAATTAAACAAAAGAACGCAGGGGCAGTTGGAGAAGTATAATCCAAGATCATGCTGGGACTTTATAGTGCATCACGCAGATCACCTACTGTCATCGTGCTGTTACCAACAGTATAATTACATTAGAAAAGTTAGAGAAAAGGGCATCTACACTGAACCACTGTGTAAAGATGATTGCTGTGAAAAGGATCAGAGAAACGTGAGCTTTACAAGCTTGAAAGGCTCTTCATTCTCAGCGAATTGAATGTAGGAATACTCGTCCTCATTTTCAAATCCCTCCTTGGCATCACCTTCTCCTGTCTCTGTGACTCTATTATCCTGGCCACTCCCTCGACCCGCTTCATTCACCTCTCCTGCCCCAGCCACCCCACCATCGGTGACTGAGCTTACAGCCATTCTACTCTTGCTCTCCGGAACTCCATTCCAGAGTCCCTCCATCTTGCCCTCCCTCCCCGCCTTGAAAAGCTGCGTTAAGACCCATCTCTTTGCCCGCTCGTCCAGACGCATATCCCGCTCCCCCCTTTGAGTTACCATGCAGCTGTGTGAAACGCTTTCTGATGTCCTGACATACAGGTTGCCATATAAATTGTTGCTGAAAAGGAGTTAGTTATGAGGACCTTGGTCAACCATGTGGAAATGTAATGGCATAAATGAGATGAGCTGAGACTTTCAGCTTAAAGTAAGATGAGAAAATAGAACCCTAGGGCATAAACGTAAGTGAGTGAAAAGTGCATTTAAAACCGTGATCAGGAAGAAACATATTTACTGAACTGATAACATAAAGTAAAATAATGGAAAGAGAAGTACTGACTGAGGGTGACTCAAAATACTGTGAGATGGCAAGAAAAGAACTGCAGTCTAGAACAAGTGTGTTCTGTATAGTGTTGGGAATACAACAACAACAATAAATTACACTTGTATAATGTCCTTCACGTTGGAAAGATGTCCCAGGGCTCTGGACAGTCTAGGATTTTTGGACCCGAGTTGGGGTCTGTGGGGGTGGGAGGATGGCTGAAGGCACGGTCGAAGAGGAAGGTCATTGGACGGGACTGAAGGAGGCAAGAAAGGGGGTGAGGCGGAGGGATTGCAAGATAGAATTCAGGAGTACAGGGCAGAAATGTTGAATGCCCGATCACCAATGGTGGGGCTGGAAGGGCAGGAAATACAGTCCCAATCTTCACTAAAACTAGTGCCAGGACCAGATTTCTTAACAAGGAATTGGAATGGGCAATGGTGATGGAAAGCATTTCGTTAAATGCTGAGATAGTCTCTGGCGAGTACTTCACAGGCCCCATGAAGCTGAGCTCTCAATTGCTAAGCTTGGTTGACATTGTTTGTAACCAGAAATCATAACCTTCTGTGCGTCCCATAGTCTGGCCATCTTTTTCTGATATTTTTGATTACTGCTGTGTTTGGTTAGTCCTAAAACTTAATTCCAAGCAAGGAACATGAAGATTCTCCCCCAAACTGTAGACATGACCCAAATCAGGCCATGACTCAATTCACTTTAAAATCCTTTGGAATGATAAGTCTTTTGAGAAGATGCATGCAATGGAATTTATGAGAAGTTTAACCATTTTGATAGCTAATCGTTTAAAGTGAGGGATTTTTGTAGTTTATAAACGTGAGTTATGGCCAATTTGAAACGTGCAGTTTACAAGTACCTCCACTTCAGAATTATAACAAAATATGTATTATAATAATAATAATCCTTGCATTTGATATAGCGCTTTTCATGTCTTCTAGCGCTTCACAGAATATACTGTAAAGTGAATTGACTGTATATTTGTGGGCAAACGTGGCAGCCAATTGCGCACAGCAATGTCCCACAGACAGTCGTGGATTGAAAATGACCAATTTATTATTGTTATTAATATAGTATTGTCAAATGATAGAGAAATGGTGTGCTGTAACTGCTGCAGAACGTGTTAAACTCTTCTCCCTCCCCAGGTGAACATGGCTCAAGATGGCACCCTTACAAACAAGCCTGTCAATTCCCACCCAGGGCCAATGCCGCTCCCTGAGAACTCCAACCCTGCTGGCTCTACGTTCCACAATCCGTCTGGTGATAAATATCGAACTGAGCAGGCTCAAAGTCAGCAAGCCCGAGAAGAGGTGCCAAGCGTAGGTCCCAACGATCCTTCCGTGGACGCCATCTATAAAGCTGTGGTGGATGCTGCAAGCAAAGGAATGCAGGTGGTGATCACCACAGCGATGAGCAGTACTTCCCAGATGAGCCCAATCCCAGCCCTGAGTGCCATGAGTGCCTTCACTGCTTCCATTGCAGACCCTGTGAATCTATCCAACGCAGTCAATGCGGTGATTCACGGGAAAAGACTCTCCGGCCTGGAGATTGACAGCCGGAACAACAGTCAAAACAGCCTGGCAAACAGGCACGTCAGAGGGGTAAGGTTGAGAAAGAATTCCGAGCAAGTGAAAAACACTCACGAAGGGGAAGGGTTTGAGTACTTTAAATCGCCGGGCCGCAATACCCCGAAAAAACAATGGGAAGTTGAGCAAATTCCAGTTCACGACGGAACGGTGTGGAAATGCGAGAAGTTTCTTGAACACTCTGGCCACGTAAATCACAGTCCTTCTGCAGACCGACTCAATAGTGCCTCGATCCTATCTTCTCTTCATGGCGGGGAGCAAGCTGACTTAGTGTTACAACAGAAAACCTGTCAGATAGACAGAAGATTTCTCGAGGACAGCTTCAGGTTCAGCAGTCAGAAACAACACATCATCAACATCAAAGAAAGGTTAGAGAACACTGTGGAAAGATGCACGCACGTCAACGGGAACAGGTCTCAGCAGAACAGGAACTTTGGTGAGTTGCTACCGGCCCCAAAACAGGAACTGGCCATGGAGGAGCAGTCACCGAGCTCTTCAACCAGTCTGGAGGGAATGCCGGGTTCTTTGGCACAAGACTACATTCAGTTTAACGGAGATTACAATTCAGAACACATCAACGGATGTGCCCCAAGTCCTTCAGACACTAAAAGCATCAGCAGCGAAGATGACTTGAAGCACCCAGATTCTCCCTCCAACGACCTGATACACTATAGGCCAAGGACGTTTAATGTTGGCGACTTGGTCTGGAGCCAAATCAAAGGGTTTCCTTCGTGGCCTGGAAAACTGGTGCGAAAAGATGAAGTACACAATTCCTGTCAGCAGAACACTGAAGAGGTCAAGGTAAATAGCACTGTAAGCATTACCATTCCACCTAGAGTTGACGTATCAGTTGGCACTGTGACTCACTGGGAATGCTGTGACTTGCTTCATTTCTAAGACTGTTTGTTTCAGTGATTGGTAGTATATAATTCCTCGCACCACAGTGGAACAAACAACATTTCGGCTGCTGAGGGCCGGGTGCCCTATTTGAGAAACGTCCACAAGCCACAAAAGCAATATTTTTGTTGTTTCCCATCCAGAAACATAACATAACAGCATTTTACGTGTTGTGGAGGGAGCGGTTGGGCCAGATTAAAAGCCAATAAGATGACATAAAGTTATCTTCAGTAGAACTGATATTCTTTAGCAGAGGGTGTTCATTTCACTGATACTGGAGTTTTATATAAAGGCTAATGAATATTATAATGGATATAATGGAAATAAGGTCAAGAAGTTCACAAACAGGGTAAGGTACCCACTAGTCCAACCCAAAATTGAATATAAGCTGCATTCATTTGAGGCCAACAGTTAGTTGTTAAATATGAACGGAATATCTTTTAAATAATAATAATAATAATAATAATAATAATCCTTGCATTTGATATAGCGCTTTTCACGTCGGGAGGACGTCCCAAAGCGCTTCACAGAATATACTGTAAAGTGAGTTGACTGTATATTTGTGGGCGAACGCGGCAGCCAATTGCGCACAGCAATGTCCCACAAACAGTCATAGATTGAAAATGACCAATTTAATTATTGTTTTTGTTTTTTTGGAGGGATTATTATTAGGCGTGTGGAGTAAGGAAACTTGCCCAAGGTTTCGCCCTGCCTGGAATTGAACTCAGGTCTCTCACTTGCAAAGCGAGTGCTCTAACCACTGAGCTACAGGACTCCACAAAATGCTGTTTACTTTCTACTCTCTGTAAATTAAAAGATCTTTTTAATTTTATAATCAACAAATATGCACTCTTACACTTAAGTATGGAACTGTTATGAGATGACATAAGGTTATCTTTAATAGATAACTACGTTATAGTGGTGTAACTTCTATTCAATAATAATCAAACTGATGGTGATATACAAGCTTGAAGGCTCCGACTTTTAATGGGGGGGATAAAGAAGGCAAAATATCAGTGAATGAGTGATTCATTATTTATTAGAAACTTAATATAATGTAGTGTAACTTGTCAACTAATCTATTTCTTAAATTTTTTTGTGTTTAAAAAAAATCTCATTCAAGTTTACATTCTTATTACAGATAGAGTAAGTATAATGTCTTATTATTTTAATTTGCGCAGGTTAGTGAAAGGATATTTTGCCTCTTCTGCTTTGATGAACATGCTTTGCTTTCCAGATATTCTTTACATCGCGTGAATGCTGTGTCATGTAAATTGAAATGCTTTCTTCCTAACCTTTCTATAAATTCAGGGACATTTCCAGTTCACGTGTAGTGAAGGCAGTTGGGTAAATTATTTTTTTTGATATATTTTGACATTGCATTTTAAACCATTAATTATTCATTTCAATTTGCAGATACAGACAAACCTGTCAAAGCAACTGCTTCTATTCAGCAACCACCTGTCTAATGAAACCACTGGCCACTCAGTCATGATTTTATCATGAAGCAGTCATGATTTTGTATTTTGTAATTGATTTATTAATAATAAATAACCCTTGCATGTGATATGGCACCTTATCACGTCTTCGAGACGTCTCAAAGCGCTTCACAGAATATACTGTAAAGTGAATTTACTGTATATTTTTTGTGGGTGAAATTATTTTTCTGGGTATGTATGTGTACTGTATTTTTCTATACACTTAGAGCTTAGAAATTCCACACACATCAACGAATGCCTACTCATAAGCCACCCTCACATAAAGGTCACTTTGGTCCAGTCCCCCGAGCAGTTGCTGAAAATAGGTTTGACTGTACATTAGTTTAATATTTGAATTGAACATAGAGCCACTTTTGATATTTATTTTGCCCATTTTCCTCCTTTCTCCTCCTGAAATTACTGAGAGTCAACACTTGTCCCAATTGGCCACACGTACGCCCAGGCAGTAAGGATTTGTGGGTTATTTGGCCTTAAGGGAACATCAAACCCTATACTATTCCTGCACTGTTCCTTTTTTCCTAGGTTTGTGCTGGTGAATATCCAGTTTCTTGATCAGCCAATATTCTTTTGTTAGACTTCTTTGAAGTTATTGCTGCATTTCTTTGAAATACAGTAAACCTCACAAAAGTCGGATCAGTTGGGACCACACATTTAATTTAACATGACTTATGCAAAGTATGAGTTACGTCAACCTGGCATAGAATATAAACTCTTGAACGGGACTTGGGCAGGTGTACAATTTATACAGATCAGACTTATGCCAGTTTGACATTATTAGGATTCTGTTTTCATTCATCCCCCAAAACATATTGTTCACCGAGCACTTTTGCAATATGTGGAACAATTAAGATTGAGGAGCTATGAAGGAAAGCATTAAAGTATTTTGGATTCGCACTTTTGTGAATAGATAATGACCTGGCTGTTTGTGAAGAATATTTAAGTACTACTGGTCTAACGTTTTGCTAATTATATTGACTATTTCTATGGAAAAGATAGCTTTGAAAAATACCCGATTCAGCAAAGGTCTAAATTTATTCAACTCTGATCCAAGCGTGCAATTGTTTTCACCCAAATGCTTCATGCATTTGACAGGCTCCAACACTATTGATCTTCCTATTTGGTTTTATAAAACTTCTTGCCGTTTTTATTGTTGAATAGAAGCAATTAAATGCTAGTTGTTGGCAGGCGTATGTGTGTGTGCGCGGGTGAAAATCCACGGAGTGTACCAATTTATTCTAGAAAATAATAATAATAATCCTTGCGTGTGAAAATAAGCGAGTTTGTGAATGGCACGAGCCATGTAATAGACCCTCTCGCAGGTCGCCCTGCCACCTCTTCCACTGGTACTGCTGGTGACCACCGACAACAACAACAAGATTTCATTTATAGAGCGCCTTTCACGTCGGGAAGACGTCCCAAGCTGGGGGTTGGGGTTAGGAGGGGTGGAGGGTGGTGGTAGGAAGGCGTAATCAAAAAGGAGGGTCTTGAGAGGAAAGGAAGGGGGCGAGGTAAAGGGACTGAGATTGAGTTCCAAAGGCCGGGGGCAGAAAGGAAGGCTGAAGTCCCAACCGCCAATGGTGGGGCGGTCAGGGAATGTGAGTCAGGCCAGAGAGTTTGCCGAGCGGGGGGAGCTGACGGCCTGGCATGGGGGTTAGCAGGTCACAGAGTTTCGACGCAGCAAAAGGCATTGGAGATATTACACAATGCAATCAGGGCGAGTGGGCAGAGTGTGATTATTTTACAGTCAGTTGTTGGCAGAGTTGTGTGCTGCACCACAGTGTCAGTGCAGTCAACTGAGTGATGCTTGAAACGCAAAGCAGCTCAACAAGACATTTCTGCTTGTGCAAATTTGGGAGGAAACAGATTTACACTTTTTAATTACAAGAATAGGTTCTTTTTTTAAATATTAAAAAAAAAGCAGATACATGCTTATTTTAAGCACCCAACGCCAAGTAGAGCCTGAAATATTTACTTGAGACGATGGCAGAAGATAGTCTGGATTCATCTTTTTCTCATGGCGTGCGGTCAAAAGGTAATTTCTGCTGGTGGAACGAAGTGTACACACGTTGTTATTTGTGTGCTAATGTGTTGTGCGACATCAGACCTAACAGCTGGTGTCTACAAATATGTTGAGAGCAAAGTCTTGCCAAAAATCATTGCATGCAAAATAAACTACACATGCACTGAGCTGCGAATTAGTGGCGTGCAAAAATAGTCACACAGAGAGGCTGGATTCGTGTGAAATTCTGGTCAAGCAACCAGCATGTGGAGGCAGCTGTGTGGGTGGTGGGTAGGTGGGTGGGTGGGTGGAAGGGAGGGTAGGGGCTGTGTGGATGGGTGCAGGGTGTGAGGGTGGAGGTGGTGAGAGTTAAGGAGTGAGTCTCTTTAAAATCTTGGATAAAGCCCTGGTTGTCGGTAACAGAAGTGCAATTATCCAACCCACCTTTGTTCATTCAAATCCATAGTTTGGTCAACTAAAATCAGTCTTAGTGAATTAAAACTGCAGCAACACCCAATAAGTACAGACAGACAGACAAGCAAATGGACGTGTCTAGTATTTAAATTTTTCGACAAATCAACGTTCAAAATCAAAACCAGCGGTGGTTGGGGGTGGGCGGGGGGGGCATTATATCAAAAATATTCACTCTCGTGCCTAAACCAGAACGCAAGTTCATCCCTTGTTTTTAGTTGGTTGCATGAAGTAATGCAAATACTGTAGTTCAAACCTGCCCTCTTGAGCTCCTTAAGATTAGATCTCTGGCATTCCAGCGGTTATAGAAAATATACCCCACCTGTGAGAACAAACACAAAACTCCCTTCACTGAGGTCGAGCCTTTGCTGCATTCTCATGCTTGAGTACTTGAAAACTATGAGTATTTTGAATGTTATAACTCGGTGCGTGTGTAAATGAGCATTCCACGTCCTGAAAGCATGTCGTGCCAAAGGCCAGAGGTTTTCCAAGGCAGCGAGTTTAAGGGTGATATGAACTGTGGTTATCTTCAGGCGGATAAAGCATCGCTTTTGTTTGTCCGCTGACCCAATGTTGCAGTATTGGCTAAGAATTGTGCCGGTAAAAGCATTAGCAGTCTCTCCAGCCCCGTCACTTATCAAAACCATGTTGAGGAAGTTGATCCGTTCGAGCCAAATGGTTTCTTTTAAACAAACATTCCCATTAATAGGGTGTGTATTCATCTGCGGATGTCTATTTAGTATTCAGATACTTCTATTGTGTTTCAATGAACTTTAGTTAATATTTACAATATTTCGCCCACAAAATACACAGTGAATTCACTTTACAGTATACTAGCTGTATCGGTTACACCCTCCTACCCCCACCCTCCCTGCCCTCCACCCCTCCTGATCTCAACCCCCAGTTTGGGTGCATATCCTTGGTGGTCCAACAGTTTGGGACATCCTCCTAACATTAAAGGCGCTACACAAATGCAGTTTGTTATTGTTGTTATCATATGTATAGTAATAATTTTCCTTGCGTTTGATATAATAATCATCCTTAAACTTGCTATAGCACCTTCACATCAGGAGGATGTCGCAAAGCTCTTTAGAGAATATACTGTAAAGTGCAGTGACTGTCTGTTTTGTGGGCGAACTTATAGTGCCTGTAAGGCGAGTCGAGTAAGTGTTGCATTCTGATGAAATCTTCAGAGGATCTGCTTTGGAAGAATTACTTGGCCTGGGAATGGGGAGGGAACTGAATTAACATAAGTATTGACGGTCGTTAACCCTGAATTAACTTGAGCATAGAAAGTCATTAACCCATGCTGCATCACAGATCTCATTTCAAATCTACATTCTCAGGATCAGACTCTTAACTCGTTGACGCTGGGTTCAATGGGTTTAAGCAAAAGATGGGTAAATAGGAACATTAACATTACTTTAGAAGGTGTCTGTCAGTCTGTAAGGTCAGGCACAGGTTGGTTCTGGGATCAGTGCACACGCTCAAGAGTTCTTCCATAACAGAAATCTTCTTTTGCAGATATTGCCCATAACATTTCCTTGGCGTTGGCCTGTAGGGAATGTTTTTTTCAGGAGTGACGTCAGCCAAGGGTTTCCCGTCAGCATGTTTGCTTTACGGAATGGGGATCTCACAGAGACAGGTTCGAGGGGAAGTTCTCTTATTTCCCCTTCCCCACTTCCTATTCAATTCTTAACCATTCTTCTCTGCTGAATATTAGCCTTTTGAGAGAAAACGAGAATCGGAACAGATTCTAGGGAGCAGATGCTTTGAAAAGAATTCACTCACTTGCCTGTCATCAGCTCAGTATATCTGCCCCATAGAGACAATAAAGACACCTGCAAATGATGATTTCTCTGAAACCCAAATCATTATTATTATCATTATTATGATAAAGGGGAACCTTATAGATGGGTATCTATCTGCTATGATAGATATCTATCTACAGAGGCTGACTTCTTTGAAGTTGATCTATTTTATGCTTAAAAATGACACTGACAGTGACATTCACTCTTAAAGTATGTGTTCGTGGTTGATAGTTTCACACAAAGGTGCCACGTGCGCCTGTGAGAGATGAAATGGCCTGTAGCAATCGGCATGGTTCATGCCATCTATAAAATACACCCGGGAGCTCTCCGTAACAAACAGCTGTAGAGGCCTAGCAGTGGAGTAAAGCACCTGTTAAAGATTGCAGGTAACATGGTTTGGTGCTCATACCCAGGTGCAGCCTACGAAGCTGAAGACGCTCTCCGAGGGTCTGGACGGGCAGCACAGAATCAGGAAGAGCAACTGGAAGTAAGGGATACTTTACAGACTGATCTCATAGAGGAATAAACAACCCTGTTGATTAATGTCAATTCATAGCCGAAAAAACTCTTAAGAGTGTCCAGTTACTATGTTGCATTGGACTCAGAAAGGCAGCTATGGTAACATGAACATATCAGAAACTTTATCCACATGGTTACTCATACGGCATCTTGGTAAACATACCCCTAAAAGCTTTGTAATCAGTTTGCGAACCAAAAAAACGTATTTCCTGAAGTATGGATGAACTCAGACTCCCTGCTTCAGGTTATTACCCTGTGCCACAGATGCTTTCTTGAAATGAACTCATGTGTAGTTGAGAGTTATTCGGTGTACAGACAGAGATTAAATATGTTGTGACTTTAGCAGTGCTCTCCATTGATTTATGATGTGTACTCTCTTCACTGCTCCTGTTGGGCTCGGTAGGTGACAAAACATGAGCACTGGGATTTTCACTGATTTTATTCAGTTACATGGTAAATTAATTTGAATATTGACACAGTTTTTGTAAAATGGCGAAGTCACTTCTACGAGGTATGGAACGAAATCTATACAACTGGAACTGTCTGCATAGTTATTTTAAAACTGTTCTATTGGGACCATAAATGAATTGGATACATATTTATAAAATACAATCATAATGTTCAGAAATATTTCAAATTCCAGTGTATAAAGTGTAATCGGTTGACTCCTGATAAATGGCTAACTATTANTTTTTTACCGTGGGACATGATTTGGTGAGTGATTTTATGATATCATGTTTGAATCCTGTTTTGTCTTGGAGTCCAACTTACTCCAATCATTTAAAGTTGAATAGTACAATTTGAGACCGCTTTCAGTCCGTTCCACACTCTAAAGCTACAACATACACAGTTGAGAATGCTTGACAGTCGGCAAACAGTTAATACAATGCTTGCAACAAAAAAAGTCTGTGAATGTACAGTTGTTAGGTTATGTTTGTAATTCAGGTCGCAAATGCATTCTGCTTTCAACAGCAGTGATATATAGATTTATCTTGTCAACTCTATTTCGTTTAATCTCATGATAGAAACTAAAGGCATTTGCTGCTCATTAATTTGCACTCTGATCTTGATTTTACAGACCCACCAGCCTCCGCAAAAGGAAAGACAAGTCAAGCCACCAAAAGCCAAGAGGCGAAAAATCTCTAGATAACGTTGAATATCTGTCTCACCAATGTAGACCAATAGGGTGGAACTGTATGTATATATAGAGTCTTAATTATCCACAATGCTGCAAGGTGCTAAATGAACAGTGGTAAAGTGTTTCTTCAATCATGAGGCTAAATTATATGATGGGTAGCTCCTCAGAACCTTTGTGAGAGATCATGATTACAGTTTGTCTACTGCTTGCCTAGAAAGTGACATTTTCTACAGCCCGAAACGATCATGAATATCAAAATCCGAAGACAGTCCAAATGTTTCTGGCGAATTGTCATAACTGTATATAGATATGCAAAATCTCATGGTATATCAGAAACTGTAAATATTGTATAAAAATTGTCATGTACAAGCATACTTAATGCACACTTTATCTTTTATTGTACAAAATAGTGTACAAAATTCTTTGGTTTCTATTGAGTACACATACAAGAGACTACCAGTGTAAAGAGGATAAATAAAATGCAGCTTAAAGCTTTTATATGTAAGATGCTGTTTTTGTATTTAACAGCAGACAAGGCATGGTTATGTGATAACTTGAATATGGCAGACACTTCACACCGCCAATGTTCATTTCTATTCCGTTTAGAATTCTGTCCTTTGTGCAATGGCATGGAGGTCCTCTAAAGTCCCACATGCAAACCCCCATGTAAAATGAAGCCTCTTTCTTGCCCGTCTCTTATTCTCCCACCTTTTTTGTTCTGAATTGCCGTGTTCTGTTTTTCGATGGTATTATTGTCCCATGTTTTTCTCAACCCCCCCCCACCAGCAGATTTGCTGGTTTCATGTCAAAACAAATGTTTTATTCATCAAAGACGGGCGTTTTCATATTTAGTTTTGCGTTTCTTTGCTTTTCCTCTCCTGAATTTGTCTTGTAATAATCGACTTTGCTCTTTTTTGTTTTGACATTTAACAAATTGATTTGTATTTTTTTTCACACGTGTGTGTGTATACTTTACATTAGTACATTATGTAAAGTATTTTGTGCACTTGATTTTAATTGGTTGATGGCATTGATGTGGGTGCTAGGAGTAGTTTGTTCCAGTCCATATAAATTCTCTTTAGGGTTTTATGGTTTCATGTAAAGGACAGTAATTGTAAATATTGTGAGCATTAAAAGGTCGTGCAGTCGTAACATTTTTAAGAATGTTGCACCTACTTTACAATTAAAAACTGGTCACTCATACTTGAATTTGTGCTTGTGGAGCTATTCTTTGCCAGTCTTTTCATGGTAAAACAAGAGTCTTCGCCCAAGATAATATATAGACCTAATTTTGAAATCCTCTTTTTAAACTTCTGTAATTTTAAGTAGCTTCTAAACTCGGAAGCAAATACACAAGTACAATCAGTTAAAATAATTGTCTTGATGCCTTCAGAGGGAGGTTCCAATTTTTTTTCACAAAACTAGTCTTCTACAAATAGCAATTGAAGCTAAGAGCACAACAGTATTTAAAAGGGAATTGGATAAGCATTTGTAAGGAACAAATATAAAATGGGAAAGAACGGGGAATATGACCTAGAATTAGTTTCAGAGTAGAAGCTAACACAAGCCTAAGCCACTTAGCAGTCCCATGCTTCTAATTTATCGTGACGCTCAGTGAAACTGCTTGCATTTTGTTACTGAAAATGCACAATCATTATCACATTTTCAATGGAGTCGATATACAATACCGCCCAGAGGCACATGAGGAGAAGCATTCATATGACATTAATTTAAGCTTTGTGGCTGAGACAACAAAAGGTAATACCCATCTTACATCGAATTTTATTAAAAATCGAATTTTTAACTCGTTTTCCTTTCTGGTACTGATCTATTCCAACCAATTGACCGAGGACGTTGATTGTTTTGTTCAGGCCTTTGCAGGTCGAGCCATCATTGAACTGAAGTCCAGATGTAGCAGCTCATTGATGGATGGACCCGCATTATTTATCCGAAGCAGAGGTGTGTATTAAACTGTGCAATGCTGTACTGTACATTGTTAGCAATCTTGCTGTGTCAGAAGCAATTAACTTTATTTGGTGCATCTGGAAAAGAGATAGAAATTAAATTGTGTTATTGCCTGGACAGGTTCATAAACATTATTTAAGAGTAATCTGAAATAGTGAATGTCTATAATGGCTACAGAGAAAGCTGACATGACACTGTGGTGCTATCTATTAGAGGAGTAATCATTAAACATTAGTCGTTGCACCATTTGACCAGATTCAAATTGTTTCTGTGACAGCCATCAGGCATCAAATATTGGTGTATAAAGCACTATAACTTCTAAACAGGAGATTAGACTTGATGGAAAAAACACTGGCTCAGGCATCAATTGCCTCTGAAAAGTCCCCGCCCCCCCACACACACATCACAGACGCCAAACCATAGGCAGTATCTCCAATAAAAGACATTCAATGAGATTTCTTACAAAAGTCGAAAATTGTTGAGAACTACAGATGAAAGAACTTAGAGAACTACAGATGAGAGAACTACAGATTGAGAATTTAGAGGAAAGTTTAATCCTTTGACCTTCTTACTGTGAACATCATTCGACTCTTTCAGATCCCTTACAGGCATGATCCACTATTACAGATGGAGAGACAGGTTTGTTGCACTGCTCCTCAGGTTTTCCATTTGATGGCTCGAATCCTAGAGGGTTGTAGGAACCAGGCAAGGTTTTCTCCATGGATACCTTGCGGGCATCATGAAGTCTTCTAACCTGAAATGAAAAAGATCCGTACATTGAGCCTGTTAGTATGCACCATTCTGACTTGGATGTAACCGCTGTTCTTTCTGCGTGTTCACTGAGAAGACATACAGTCACTCTTTCCCCTAACCTATGACCACTGACTGGAAATTCAGTTGTGATTGCCCTATAGTGACCAAAGTCATGAAAACTCTCGGCAAGTTATACATATTGTTTCTCACTTGATGCTGACCTGACATTGGACAATTTGCCAAATTCTGGACATTCTGAAATGCTGCATCAATGGAGTAAATCTGACGTCTTTGTGTATCTAACATGATGCTAAAAAAATGATGTTGTGATGGACACTATCATACTTCAGCGACTGAAATGGGTGTGAATTAGCTTGATGCCACAGCATAATTTACTAAACTTCGAGTGACAGTAGGCTCAAACACTCCACTTACCATACTTTCACTGATGATGTTAATAAATATTATGAACAGCAGCGGGGAGCAGGTCAGATCCCTGCGGAAATCCACGTGTTACTTATAGCCCAGGTGGAGCTAATTGACAATATTCATTACTATTTCTCTGCATTCTATTATCGAGCCACTTTTCTATCCAAATCACACCCGTTTGGTTGAAATTTCTTTTTCTGAAGAAACTTGTTAAGCTTTTGAAGCGCAAAGCGATATATTTTTTTTACTTGGTCACAACCAAATTTGACAGGGAAGGAGAGTCGTTGTCTCAAACTCCACAAGGAAAAGGCGAATTAAGCAGTTCAGGTTGAATTACAGTTACACGGAGGTTCATCAACATAATGAAACATCTACTCAGGGGAGTGGTGGAGGCAGTTTCTGGAATATGGGCATTTTCAAGGGTGAATTGGATCGAGGGGGAGACATAAGGAGCAATGGTTTATTCCTCCTGTTTGCTTTAGTTCTTCTGATATTGTCATATTACTGTTTGTTTAATTGGGACTTGAAAACCCTGTAGATGTGCAATACAAGTGAACTAATTAAGTCAATTCTATATGTAACGGAGTGTAGGTGGTAAGGTTGAAAAGTGTTAACCGGTAATGACCAAATCTTTTTAAAAACACTTTACGTTTCTATTAGAGAAAACCTGCTGGTTTTTCTAAAGCATACATATATATACTAAATTATATTTATGTAATCCATACAAACTTTGTACCATTCAGTGGCTAATTGCTGCAGTATACAGAGTCTTCAAATGCGGATTTCGCAAAGCGCCAACTAAAACTACCAATTGTGTGACAGCCTGGCACAGTTATTAGCACTCTTGCCTCTTGAGTTAAAAGTTGTGTGTTCAAGACCCATGTCGGCACTTGATACTGCGGTGCAGTGCTGTGGGGGGTGGGAGAGTGGCTGCTTTGTTGGAGGTGTCCTCCTTAATAATCCCTCCAAAAATAAAAATAAATTGGTCATTTCAATCCACGACTGTTTGTGGGACGCCGCTGTGCGCAATTGGCTGCCGTGTTTCGCAGACAAATGTACGGTCGATTCACTTTACAGCATATTCTGTGAAGCGCTTTGAGATGTCGAGAAGATGTGAAAAGCGCTATATCAAATGCAAAGATTATTATATTATATTGTTATATGAGATGTTAAACTGAGGCTAACCTGGCTACTGCGTTTCTCCCACAAACTATACAGTCAGTCCACTTTACAGTCTATCCTGTGAAGCGCTTTGAGACGTCTCAATGACGTGATAAAGCGCCATATGGAGTCCTGTAGCTCAGTGGTTAGAACACTCGCTTTGCAAGTGAGAGACCTGAGTTCAATTCCAGGCAGAGGGCGAAACCTTGGGCAAGTTTCCTTACTCCACTCAGAGCCTAATAATAATCCCTCCAAAACCAAAAACAATAATAAATTGGTTATTTTCAATCTACGACTGTTTGTGGGACATTGCTGTGTGCAATTGGCTACCGCGTTCGCCCACAAATATATACAGTCAATTCACTTTACAGTGTGTTCTGTGAAGCGCTTTGGGACGTCCTCCCGACGTGAAAAGCGCTATATCAAATGCAAGGATTATTATTATTATATCAAATAATAATAATAATCTTTGCGTTTGATATAGCGCTTTTCAAGTCTTCTGTACGTTTCAAAGCGCTTCACAGAATAGACTGTAAAGTGAATTGACTGTATATTTGTGGGTGAAACGCGGCAGTGAATTGTGCACAGCAGTGTCCCACAAACAGTCGTGGATTGAAGTGACCAATTTATTACTGTTCGTTTCTTGAGGGATTATTATCAGGAGTGTGGAGTAAGGAAACTTGCCCAAGGTTTTGCCCTGCCGGGAATCGAACCCGGGTCTCTCTTTCTGACCTGCTTACTCTCTAGTCCGCTACCCGCTGCCTAACTCGTCTGGTTCTGGCCCACTGCATGTCCTCTCCTCTCCACCATCGGTGGCCGTTCGTATAGAGCGTTTGGAAGAGCGAGGCAATCAGTCCCACTCCCCCGCTCTTTCCCCATAGCTTTGCAATTTTTTTCCTCTTCAAGTACCTCTCCAATTCCCTTTTGAAAGTTGCTATTCAGTCTGTTTCTACCGACCCTTCCAGGCAGTGCATTCCAGACCGTAACAATTCTCTGTAAAAAAAAAAAAAAAAATTCTCTTCTCCCCTCTGGTTCTTTTGCCAATTATCTCTCGAATCTATGTCCCCTGGTTGCCGACCCACCTGCCAGTGGAAACAGTCACTTCGCCCTGAAATTTTTTATCCCTCTCAATCCCTTCACCTCAGTCCCCTCCTCCCACTTTTCCAGTTCACACTTGACAACTTCCACTTGGATCGTGCTGACAGTTACTTCGTCCCTCTCTTTCCGCCCCCCCCGCCACCCCCCACAGTCTCAGCATCAGGCTCCGCCACTGTTAACTGCTCCGCGACACCACCCCCTGTGATATAAACGCAAGTTGTTGTATATTGGGGTTTAATTTGCAGTACAATATTTCTTCAACAAACTAGTCTGATCTGCTTGAGATTGTCTGTCGGGCCAGTAGTACTTTTTTTTAAGTGAAAAACGCGTTCTTCAGCACGTTTGATGTTTTAGAAATGTAATCATACGAGATGTGTCGGCAACAAATATGACAGGAAGCAACACCCATTAACCCACGCGTGTACCACGCACTGTTCTGGGCTTTACAATTACAATTGCGAGAGGTTTTTCCTTGATAAATAATCCATGCGTTTCAGCTGACGCATGCCATATCACTTTTGTACGGGAATATAACCCCTGATTTCAGAGTCCTGCACCTGGATGGGCTGAGACGTGCATGAACAGACCTTTGAAATCCCAAGATAATTACTCCCCCGCCCCCCACACCCCACCCCATCACCAACATCTCCCGATCAGTGCAATGAGATCCGAGGCAAATATAAATGGGGCTTTCCACTCCACATCACTGCGCCACTGGGAGAAAATAGCACTTTACTTCGGGATGTAGATCACTGAGCTATGAAGAGCAGCTTAATCTATTCTCATTGGAAAAAAGATTAATG